GCTCAGTAAATCCAACAGATCCATCTGAGTCTACCTTCAAAGGGTTGAGATTAGAGATATGCAAGATCACATCTACTTGTTTGGATTTATTTGTTAACGTGGTTCTGGGAATTGAACTCAGGTCTTTGTGCTTGCAAAGAACACCCTTTAATGACTGAGTGATTTGAGTTTATATCCAAAACACTTTTTAAAGATGTACTTTTTAATTATGTATATGTCTATGACTTTGTGTCTATGTGTAAATGTGTTCACCTGAGGGGGTCAGAAGAGGGCATCAGATCCCCTGTAGCTGAGTCACAGGTATTTGGGAGACACTTGACACAGAAGCAGTGTCCTTTGCTAGAGCAGTAAGCGCTCTTCACCCCTGAGCTATCTTCCTAGCATCCCCTCCATTTTTTTTAAAATAAAAGTCCTTTGAGTTTCTTCTTTAAGACATGCATGGTCTCCTTCTAGCTCATGCATTAAGGGTTTTTTATACTGGATGCTCTAGCATTGACTCATACATTATGCATTCATAGGAACAGCGATATTTTTTATTTCTTGAACATCTTCTTTTGTCTATTTTTTTCTTCTTATAACCTTTGAAAAGTGTCCCCTTTTTTGTGGTGATGGTTGTGTTGCTTTAGGGACAAATACTTGACTTATATTTAAGGGACAGTGAATTCCCTTAAATGTATGCTTGACCATTCAAGCAGGTGGCCCCTTTGCACGCATCCACCAACTCTCTTAGTTCAATGGCTTTTTAATTTTTCCGTTCAGATAAAATTACAGAGCTGCTGTCTCCAGGCACAGTGAATTCAGACACTCTGCTCGTCCTTGTAAATGCCATCTACTTCAAAGGAAACTGGGAGAAGCAGTTTGACAAAGAGGACACCCAGGAGATGCCTTTCAAAGTCACCATGGTGAGTGCTGATTGGTCCTTTACTGGCCTCTAAACCATACAAGAAGGCTGTCTCTTGCAGCCTGTGCTTCATATGGCTTTGAATATTTTGGCAAGGACTTTTTCTAACCTTTGGGGCTTTTCTCTCATCCTTTTCATCTTGTAGGGTACCACTTGGATACCTGCTTGCTCCCCAGTTTCTTGTCAGTACCCTGCTATTGAGACCTGTTATGTTCTTGCTGGTGTCTGTATACAGGACAAATCTATGGCACTGCTCTCTGTTTACTCATTTGGGTCTGTGGCACTACTCAACTTTCTACATACAGAGTATAAGACTCTTTGAACCCCAGGACCTTGCCCATCTTTCCCGATTCCCTGTATTCCCAGCACTGTCCTCCACAAAACTCCCATCCTATATCCCTATTCTTCAAGCTGTTACCACACTTCCTGCCTGTCTCTACAAGACAACACAGCAGTCAACCACTTTTGTCACTACTTTTGAAGAAAGACAATTGTATATTATACAATTTTATAGTAGCTAGCTTATAAACATTACTTAGTAAACACTGTAACAGCGAGTGACATTCAGTTCAGATTTGATGGGGCAGGTACAGATTTTTGCTTACAATAAGGAAACAAAGGCATGTGTATGCGAGATAGACTCTAAGTTTAACAACCTCCATCTTGGAGGAGATCCCTTGCTGAAGGCTCTCCTTTGTTGTTCTGCTTTCTCAACATATGGCCTTAACACACACACACACACACATAATTTTTATTTCCTGTGCATTATTAATGTTTTGCATGCATGCATGTATGTGCATTTACCTCTAGCCCACGATGTTCAGAGAGTACATAATTTAAGGGCTCTAAAATGAATGGTTGTGAGCTGGTGTATGGGTTTTAGGAACTGAAGCTATGTTTTCTGCAGGAGCAGCAAGTGCTCTTTACTGCTGAGCCATCTCTCCATTCCAGGAGGATCTTCCTTATCATGCTTACACAGTGGCTTGGACCTTAATGTTGTGTGAACACAGAAAAGGACGGAGGGAGGATGGAAAGCAAGAAGTCTCTCCATTGAGCTCCTGCTCTTTCATCCAGAGGGAAATCTTTCTAATACATTTTATTCTATTTTCATTTCCTATCTCTGCAGTAGAGAAAGATGCGGCTGTGGCTAGAGTGAAGATTGACTGCAACCCGTATGTGCATGTTGCCAGTCTAGTGAATGAGCTATAATAGCCATATTTTTTTTCTTATTTTGAATGAGTGAGCTTAACAGTCAGTTAAAGTAAAAGGACAAAAGACAAGAGATAGATGTAGACGGGTGAATAAATGCACGAATGAATGGCCACCATCAAATCAGGAACTCAAAACATCATGTAGAAATTGGTTGGGAAAGCCCCCACTCAATAAAGCAATCAGCTGGCGTTTCCAAGAGAGGGAACTGCAGACGGAGCAGGGTGTCCCATAAATTAGCCAGCTAGAGTTCCTCATTGAGAGTCCCAGACAGAACAGAATGTGCCCTCTGTGAGGCTTTACAGTAAAAGACTAAATGACAACAGACGGAGATAACACCACCAAATAAGGGCTTAAAACACCCAGTAGAAGCCTCCTGGGAAGTTGAAGCAGTCATCTGAAACCCAATTGAGCTTTCTCTCCATGGCTGAGGTTCCCATGGCAGAACTTTTCTTTCCCACTGTGGGTACTTTTATATCATGGAATAAGCACTAGAAACATCTGTTGGAAGCAGCTTACCTTCTAACTGCTCTCAGGGACACAGTGTTTATACTCTTGGACTGTTTTGCATTTCCTGTCAGATCTGGGAGGAGGGGGACAGCTGATCATAGACCAGGAGCCTAGGAGAATACTGAACATAAACATGTTTGGTTTGGAAACACGGGTGGAGGGGAGAGGCAACATCTCTTCCAGAAAGAGCTGCCAGGTAAGTTCAAACAGCATGTGATAATTACCAGTATAATGTACTTGCGGTAGCTGCAGGACCAAAACCACAGGATTTTGTATTGAAACAGATTTTTGTTTATATTCCACATTACTAAATGAATAGGAATTACAGACACAAATAAGTGAATCATTAAATTACTTTTATATTACATGATTGGATGCTTTAGGTACTGGAGACATTTGGGGAGAAATTGCACAAGGCAGAGATCAACTCCTTGTGGGTTATGGCCAAAAGCCAGTCCAGGTCCATTTTCCCAGAGTTTCTTTAGGAATAGTCCTGTTTGTTACTGATGGATGCTCCAGCCACAGGCAAGCATGGTTGTGACAGAAACTGTGTGGGCCACACGACCAATAATCCAAACATCCTGGTAAAGTGTTCTAGCTGCAGGCCAGGGACATAACAGAAGAGACAAGGCCAGGAAGCGGCTTGGCTCAGGGCTAGCTCAGGCAGACAGGACATGGCGAAGATAGAACATTTGTTCAGTTTGTTTCAGAAGAGGGTGCCATGCCAGAGAACTTTGTGACTGCAAAGAGCTTTTTGCTGTGTTGGTCACAAGATATTGAGTAAATTTTGTAATTGTTTCTAGCATTAGATCACAAGAATGGTCAAGAACTGAGGAAGACAGGTAGAGGACATGGTCACTTCTGGTTCAACTACAGTTTCGTTTTGTTTTTTTTTTCTAGTAAGGTGTTCGCTTTGCCTGGCCCTCAGTATTGCTGCTCACTAGTTGTCACTAATGTAGTCATCAGGTGTGACTTGAGCCTGTTGTGTCCCAGGCATTAACTGGCTGAATGTGCCCACACACATGAAGTTCTTTTTCCTGAGGCAGAGCAATAAGAAATAAACATAGGGAAGATCACTGTGGTTGACATGTTCCACTGAGACATACAGTGGAGGTAGTAGGATGCTGTGCTCGGGCTGGTTGTTGACCTGCTTCCCCTGGCTTGCTTGGCCTGCTTTGTTATAGATCCCAGGACCACCAGCCCAGGTTGAAACCACCCACAATGGGCTGGGCCCTCCCCCATTGATTACTAGTTAAAAAATGTCTTACAGCCTGATCTTAGGGAGGCATTTTCCCAACTGAGGCTCCTTCCTCTCTGATGACTCTAGCTTGTGTCAAGTTGACATCAAACTAGCTAGTATAGGGTGTGGTTACGGATGAAAGATACGAAGGAAGCCTTCACTGGGAAGATGGATGTGAGCAGATACCAGGACATAAGGACCTGAGGTTCCGTGTTCCGAGGTGAGGGGGAGTGCAAGCAGGACAAGCTTGTGTTGGGATTCTAGGTTGGTCTAAGGTGATCAACTTATGCTCACACTAGAGCAGTGGTTCTCAAGCTTCCTAAGGCTATATGAATCTTTAATACAACCCATGTTGTGGTGACTGACATCCATAATTTTTTTTTTTTGTTGTTGCTATTTTCACAAGGGCTTTTAAGTTCCAGTCTCAGTGCCCCTCAGGGTTCAGAGAGAATGCTATGGCAAGTGGAGGGACTTAGAAAAATCTGAGGGCAAATGAATTCTCCACTCATACTTTTCTGTATCCATTTCTTTATTGTTCTGCTTCTATCCTAATCCTTCTATCCTACTTCCAACTTCTCCTAGCTTCTTCTCTTAGCTTCTTTTTAGTCTACCCTAAAAACTTCTCTCCTTCAGGAGCCTTGAAGCAATAAAGAAATTACAAGAGTTGTTTCTCTTTGGTCAAGAGCACATTCCTAAGGCAAGTGATAGGGAGGTGAGCCATTGCCATGACAACACGAGTCCAAGGGTACACAAATGAGACAGTGACCAGCGGACAGGAGGGACAGTGAGATAAGCTTTGACAGAGATCTTTTGTTAACAGACTGGCAAGCAAAGAATTCCGCAGGCTTTCCTTAGTAACCTTAGTTGGACATCTGCGTTTCTGACCTTACATAGTTGTAAGGTTTCAAACATTTGATATTGTTAGGGATTTTCCTAACATGAGCTCTCTGCCAACACCAAAATCCCAACAAGCCAAATCTCAACAAGCCAAATTAAAGAATATCCAAGTTTAATGGGATTCCTGTGCTCTTGGGTGGCCCCAAGGGAAACCAGGAAGCCACAAATGTGACCACAGTGGGTGGAGGGGGGGGGTGAAGGCCACAAGAGGACTTTCCAGGGGAGCAGTTTAAATAGACTGGGGACGTGGTCAAGTTTTTGGCGGGCTGCCTTGACCCTCCTTCGGGGAGGGGTCAAGCTTTGGTGGGCACAGGGACAGGACCTCTAAAGATGGAGGCCAGAAACTGGGACTTACAGATCTATTTACAAAAACCTTTTAGTCTAGTTTAAACTTGCTCTGAGATAGAAGTTAGCTAATTGTGTAAAGTTTGTGTTAGACTGAGAAGACATTGTTAATTTTTGACATTACTCTGAGTAAAAAGGAACAAAGCAGGCTCTTATGTGTCTACAGTCCTCATGGGACAAATAGATCCAGTTCTGAAGCATGTCCCAGTATATTTTCTATATATCAAAATTATACAAACAAATGAAAAGCCATTTTCCTGATCACCCACAGATATATGTGCCCAGTAGAGGGAACATTTTCATGAGATAAACACACACACAGTGGGAAAACACCCAAAGGTTTTCTTAAGGAAGAAATGAAGTTCTTAGGGAAGAAACAAAGTGACTCAGGAGAGAAACTACAGACAGAGAAACTGGTTTCCACAGCCAGAAAGTCCATGATCTTACCAGGTGGGCCTCCCTATTAGAGAACCACTCATTGGTAGGTTGGCCTGTTGAATACTAATTATCACCTGCTGTATCTCTCATGGCCCCTGACGCTGTTTCATAACTGTAATTGTGCTACTGCTATAAGTCATAATGTAAATATCTGATAGGCAGGATATCTGGTATGCAACCACTGTAGGGGTTGCAACCCACAGGTTGAGAACCACTGCACTAGAGCATTGCCATACTGGGGGGTTAAACCATTGCCTTGTGCTGGAACCTCTGGCTGCTGTGCTGAGGTCAGTGACAAGGAGGTCATCACAGTACCTCAGGGCTGTACTGATGACAGTGAAGTTTTTAAAAACATTAGATTTTGATTCTCTTTCAAAGGGACAGATGTTGTAATATGGGAATGAGGCAGATGCAGAGTGTGAGAAGGGAATGATATTTGTATATCAGACATTTACATTATGATGTCATATGTTCATTGTTGCATGAGATGGTAAAAGAAAGATGATCACTCCAAGATGAATTTTAGGCCTTGGCAGCAAGGAGGAACAGCCTCTGATGTACTGAACCTTGACCCTCCGTTCAAAGGCATATTTATTGATGGTTACACAAAGTTGTTTTTTGGATAAACAAGTTCATCATAGCAAAGTCCCTGATCTAATCTGTATGTTTTTCTGAAGGAAAGCATCACACCCCTGCCCCTTTAGTCCTTATTGTGTACCGTTTGCAGTACCCAACAATCTAAGAGCCCCAGGTGTGCCAGGGCTGTCTTGTGACTAAAATCATGCAACGGCCATAACGCTGCTTCAGAAAAGTATCTCTATAAATCACAGAAAGCAATCACTGATTTCCACCATGACTTCTTCAAGGTCAAAGTCCTTCTAGAAAACAGCTGTTCATTCTGATATTGACTTTAGATACAGTTAGAAAGAAGCAAGTATTCTGTTCTAGTGTTTGCACTTGATACGGTGACTCTGCTCAATTCCTACAACAGACAGGTAATGGTGCTGTCGGTTAGAAGGACTGTGAGGGACAGTGTGGTGGCTTAAATAAGAATGGCCTTCTCAGACTCATATTTGAATGTTTAGGGAGTATTATTAAGAAGTGTGGCCTTGGCTCTGGTTTCTGCTCCCATTGCTCATCGCTGACACTGGCGGAACAGCCAACTTGTGGACCATGGCTAACTTCGAGTGTACCATTGTGGCCATCAGGCCAGACAGCACGCAGCATGACCTGGTGGGTGAAAGCATCAAGCGCCTCGAGCAAAAGGGGTTCTGCCTGGTGGCCATGAAGTTCCTTCGGGCTTCTGAGAAACACCTGAAGCAGCACCACATTGACCTGAAAGACAGACCATCCTTTTTTCCTGGGGCTGGGGAAGTACATGAACTTGGGGCCTGTGGGTGGCCATGAGCTGGGAGGGGCTCAATGTGGTGAAGACAGGCCAAATGATGCTGAGAGAGACCAATCCAGCTGATTCTAAGCCAGGCACCGTTCGAGGGGATTTTTTGCATTCAGGTTGGCAGAATCATTATCCATGGCAGTGATTCAAGTGTGAGGTGCAGAGAAAGAGATCAGTCTATGGTTTAAGCTTGAAGAACTGATCGACTAAAAGTCTCGTGCTCATGACTGGGTGTATGAGTTGAGGTGGATAGCTCTGGGTCCTTTTTAGCATTACTGGTGGACCCCTAGGCTCAGCTCTTCATTCCCCCCAGAATGAATGGATCGTATTTTCTAAACCAATAAAAACGTTGGAACTGGAAAAAAAAAAGAGAGAGATGTGGCCTTGTTGGAGTAGGTGTGGCCTTGATGGGGAAAGTGTGTCACCTTGGGGTTTCAAATACCTGAGTCAGGCCCAGAGGCTCTCTCTCTCCCTGTTGCTTGCTGACCCAGATGTAGCACTCTTGGCTCTGTCTACAACACCATATCTGCCTGCATACCTCCATGCTTCCTGCCGTGATGATAATGGACTAAACCTCTAAACCTGTAGGACCCAGTGAAATGTTTTCCTTTATAAGAGTTGCTGTAGTTCTATTCCTCACAGAAATAAAAGACTGACTAAGACAGAGAATAGTTGTAGAGAGATCAGATTTGCAAAGGAAAGTACAGCGCTTGTGGTGACATCTTAAGTTGGGATTTTCTTTCTAAGTGAAAAAGTCAGACAGGAAGTAAAATGTATGTGTGGAGCCCTAGGGGAAAAGTCCAGGCTAAAACAGTGAATTTGGGAATTATGTTCAGAGTCATGAGAATAAATGAGATCCCCTGTAAGGACAACAGATTTATTTGGAGACTGGCAAGTCAGTTTCCTGGCACTGTGTTAGCTGATGTGGAGATAATCAATTTAAGAAGAGAAAAGCTTCATTTGACTCATCTTTAGGGATTCCATTTCCATGAGTTAAGCCTGTAATAGGAGTTCTGACTGGCGATGGTGGGATCAGATAGGGAGCAAAAGGGTTCACCTCAAGGACAGAAAGTGAAAGAGAGGAAAAAGAGGTCAGGATTCTCCAATCCCTTTGGTGCATCCCAACGACCTGGATATCCCCTACTAGGCCCCATATCTTAAAGATTCTACTTCCTCCCAAAACTCTACTCTGAGGACCGACCCTTAAAAAAATGGGTTCTTTGAGGCCCATGTAAGTTCTAAATTACTCCAGAAGTTTGAGAGGCTGATGAAATATTCTGGAAGCTTTATCAAAGTGCTCCTGGAGGCATAGAGTGGTTGCAAAGTATCCATTGTGTCTTGTTTCAACTTAATATTTATCCATCCTTCACAGAATGAGGAGAAACCTGTGCAGATGATGTTTAAGAAGTCTTCCTTTAAGATGACCTACGTGGAAGAGATATCCACTGCGATTCTGTTGCTTCCCTATGCTGGCAATGAGCTGAACATGATCATCATGCTTCCAGATGAGCACGTTGAACTGAAAACGGTAATGATCACGAGACCTTGATGGAACTGTGAGGGAGAAAGAGTGGCATTTGTGTTTCTGAAGGGGCGACTCTCCTAGGCTCCCATGACCATGTTTTTATCTTCCATTCATTTGTGAGGCTTGGGTGGAACCCACAGCCTAGAGCCTGCTTGACAAACACTCACCACTGAGCTGAATCCTAACCCCTCCCAGCTACTACATTAACTTAAAGCCACGCATCCCTGGGCAGTGTAGACCCTCCCCATCGTCTCAAGTGCCCCGGGTGACAACGTTGTCCTAAAGTGTCCACCTCTCTTCTAGGTGGAAAAGGAAATAACTTATGAGAAATTCATAGAGTGGACGAGGCTGGACAAGACGGATGAAGAAGAGGTGGAGGTTTTCCTCCCACGGTTTAAACTGGAGGAGAATTATGACATGGAGGACTTTCTGTGCAAGCTGGGCATGACTGATGCCTTTGATAATGGGGCAGACTTTTCTGGAATATCTTCCAAGCAAGGCTTGTCTCTGTCCAAGTTTGTGCATAAGTCCTTTGTGGAGGTCAATGAGGAGGGCACAGAGGCTGCGGCTGCCACCTCCAGTGTAGTTTTTAAGTGTATGCCCCCCTACTTCTGTGCCGACCACCCCTTCCTTTTCTTCATCCAGCACTGCAAGACCAAGGGGATTGTGTTCTGTGGCCGGTTCTCCTCTCCCTGAGAGAGGGCGCTGCTGAGTCAGCATACCACCTTTGCCCAGTCCCTCTCCCATGATTCATGATTTATCTGTGGATTAATAAATGTTGTGACAAGTCTGTGCTTGGTGGCACATACCTGTAAACCCAGCACTTAACTGATGAAGTTGAAACGATCAGAGGTCAAGCAAAGGTGGTCTTGGGTATATAGCAAATTCAAAGCAAGCCTGGGCTACATGAGACCATTAAAAACAAACCAACAAACAAGAAAAAAAAACAAATTAAGATGAAACAAAAAGAAAAGAAAAATATCTGATTCTGGACGCTTTATACAGAAGAAGTGATTAGTTCATGGTTCTGGAAGCTGCAGAACATAGAGCTGCTGTATGGCTTTAGTGAGGCCCCTAGTGGATGGCACTGTAACAACAGTATGTGAGATTCAGATTTGTTACTAACAAATCTTTAGAACTCCATCACACATTCTCATTCTCTGTCTCTGTCTCTCTCTCTTTCATTTGTATTTTAACAAATAAACTTTGCCAGAAGTTCAGAAAGTAAAACAGCCACACAGGTCAGCCTTATAGACCAGGCAGTGGTGACACACAGCTTTAACCCCAGTAGCCACACTACTTTGCCATAGAAACCGTGCTGTAGTGGTGCACACCCTTAATCCCAGCACTAGAGAGGAATATAAACTGGGAGAGACAGCTCTCAGACACAGTCTCATTCTGAGATTCTTGAAAGCAGGATTACCATTTCAGACTAAGGCAGAGAGGTAAGAGCCAGTAGCTGACTGTTTTGCTTTTCTGACCTTCAGGTTGAACCCCAATTTCTGTGTCTGAGTTTTTATTAATTGTGCTACATTTCTCTCTCTCTCTCTCTCTCTCTCTCTCTCTCTCTCTCTCTCTCTCTCTGTGTGTGTATGTATTTGTTTATGTATGTGTACAAGTGTGTTGTGTATGTGCATATGCTGTGTGTGTATGTGTGTGTGTCTCTGATGTAATGCTAATTACTCCTTCATTGACCTCTCATGGGGGTAGGGAGTAGAAGGAAGGGGAGAAGGGGAGGATTAAGGAGAACTTGAGGGAATGGTATAGTCAAGATGGAGGAAGGACAGAGATGAGAGCAAGGAAAAAGATTTCTTGACCGAGGGAGCCATTATGGAGCTAGTGAGAAACCTGGTACTAGGGAAATAATCAGGAATCCCCAGATAAGACCCTAAGAAATAGAAGAGAGGGTGCCTGAACTGGCCTTGCCCTGTAGTCAGATTGATGATTATCTTAAATATCATCATAGAACCTTCCTCCAGCAACAGATGGAAACAGAGGTAGAGAACCACATCAGAGCACTGGACTGGGCTCCCAAGGTCCAGTTGAAGAGTGGAAGGAGTGAGAATATGAGCAAGGACGTCAAGACCATGAGGGGTTTGCCCACTGAGACAGTTTGCCTGAGCTAATGGGAGCTCACCAACTCCAACTGAACTGGGAATAAACGAGCACAGGACCAAATTAGTCCCACTGAATATGGTTGACAGTTGGAGAAGACTGAGGGGCCACTGACAGTGGCACTGGGATTTGTCTCTACTACATATACTGGCTTTTTGGGATCCTATTCTCTTTGGATGTATACCTTGCTCAACCTAGATGTAGTAGGGAGGGCCTTGCCCTCTATTAGGATTGGGGGGGGGAGTGGGAGGTTGTGTGGAGGGAGTGGGAAGAGGGGAGGGAGTGGGAATTTGGATTGGTATTTTTAAGTAGTAAAATAATAATAATAATAATAATAGAAAAATTCATAGGCCTTGTGAGTTTTGTTGGCTGTAATTTACCAAATGCTTTAGTTTCTTTCTTTTAGCTATAATACACAGATAACCATGATGAAGGGTATGTTTTCAGCTCACACTTCTTGGTTACAGGCCATCATGGTGTGTAGGTTCCCAAGTCAGATGATGGTGGTAGAGCATTGCCCATACCCCAGATTCTCTCAGAGAACATGTCTTTTTTAAAAAACTATATCTCTACTATACCTGAATAGAGAAAATTTTGCCTTGATCGTGCATATTTATCATAATTCCCAGACTGTTAAATGGTATCAATGGCAAATTATTCCACAGGAGATGTTAAACTTTGTGCAAATGTTTTATACAACAGTCATTGGAAATAATTTGTAAACTGTTTCCTCAATCTAGATTTACCATTATATCAATGATATTTTATTAGCTGATTCAGACTCAGATACCTTAGGAAAAAATGTTTGAAGAGGTAAAGAAAATTTTGCCTTCTTGGGGATTGCAAATTGCTACTGAAAAAATAAAAAGAGGAAAGTCTACTAATTACCTAGTAGATAAGATAGGTTTACAGAAAACTCAGTCACAAAAAGTACAAATCAGAAGAGATCAATTATAAACTCTTAATGATTTTCAAAAACTGCTAGGAGATATTAACTGGCTATGGCCTAGAATCAGATTAACAACTCAAGAACTAAGGAATTTACTTCAAACCTTACATGGCGACAAGGACTTTAAGTAGTCCAAAAAAATTATTAGCTGAGGTTGAGAGAATTGACTCTGGTAGAAAATAAATAACAGAATGCATATGTGGATCTCTTGAATCCAGAACTTGGTTGCATTCTGGTTATTTTACCTTCTATCCATTCTTCCACAGGGACTCTTATGCAGAGAGGAGATAATATTTTAGAATGGATATTTTTGTTCACAAAAATAGAGTAAAAAATTAAGAACCTATATAAAAAAGTTTCTGAATAAATTCTAAATATTTGAGATTTTATCAGTTAATGGGAAGTGACCCAATAGAAATTGTGGTACCTTTTACTAATGATGAATTTTTTTCTCATTTGGGAAAAAAAATGAACATTGGTAAAAAGCTTGCAGTAATTTTGGGGAGAAATTAACAAAAATTATTCTCAAAACAAGAGACTTTGGTTTATAAAAATAACTAATTGGATTCTCCCTCAGTTGGCATGAGGAACACTGATTTCTCAAACCCCTACATTCTATATGGATGAAAATAAATCATGAAAGGCATGTTATAAGTCAGAAACAATAAGCAAAGTGGCCCAAAGCCCTAGGATTCCATTTAAAAGTCAAAATAATATGCTATTCTCATGGTATTATTAGATTTTCTAGAACCTCTTAATATAGTTACTGACTCTCAATATGCAGAAAGAGTTGTTTTACATAGTGAAACTGCTGAACTTATTTCAAATGATTCAGAATTAAATTTGGCATGTATTCAACTACAGCAAGTAATCCGAAGTAGAAATCATCCCTTGTATATAACACACATTAGATCCCGTATGGGTCTACCAGTCCCTCGAACATGAGGCAATGATGAAATTTATCAGCTGTTGGTAGGAAATCTGATAGAAGCCTCATAATTGTGTAAGCAGCACCATATTAATAGCAAAGGCTTAATGAAAGATTTTTCTATCACTTGGCAACAAGCCAAGGAAATTATAAGGAAAAGTCTTGTTTGTTCCTTTGTGTAACCACACTCTACTACCTGCATGGAGTAACCCAAAAGGTGTAGCATGATTAATAAGAACCCCGACACAGAAATTGGAGTTCAACCCAAAGGTCAGAAAAGCAAAACAGGTTGAAATATAAATGTGTCTATATATGAATGGTTGTAAATGTGAGTAAAGCGTATGGGTGGCAGAGAAGGAATAAAGGGGGATAAAAAGAGGTGCTAAGGAAGAGGGGCCTCAAGGACATAGGTAACGTGAAAGCATGAAAGAGGTGGGGGTGCTTTGCGTTAAGGGGTCAGAGAAGTGGGGGAGGGAGGAAAAGAGGTGAAAGTACTAAAACATACTTTATTTGAAAGCAGCATACTGCTATCTAATGTACTATATATACCTTGATGCTATCTACATGGTATGCTAATTCAAAAAGTAAAATATGGGATGAAAATATCTAATAATATATGTCAGAAAGATGTCTCCATGAAAATGTCAAATTCCACATTGGCTTTAGAGAAGTATCTAAGAGGTCCTCAGAGTGTTAAATAGGGAGCTGCCATGATGCCCAACAATCCCAGTTCAGGTATGTATTCAAGAAAGCTCAAAGTTTTATCCACACCAAAACAGGTGCACAAAGCTCATGGCAGCATATTCACTAATAAACAAAGCATGGAAACATTATAAATACTTACAACCTGATTAATGAATTGAAAATCGGTCTCTTGAAGATCTTGGAGGGAAGAAGGCAAGTGAACAAAGGAGGTGTGTGTGTGTGTGTGTTCTGGGAATAGAAAAGATCTTCCTGCAACCTTTCCCACATTCCTTCTGTGGCCTGTCATTTCCTGTCAGACAGCTGTTTGGTGTCATTGGGTTGAAATGGGAGGGAGAGATCAGTCAAGTCTAGGTGATTAACCTTGATTCACAGATTTAGAAGGAAGCGCTCCCAGCAATGATCAGCACATCTGCCACAGAACTGAGCAGAAGTCTCTACTCAAAGGTTAAGGCAGCAAAGGCTATGACACAATGTGATGACCAAGCCTTTGCATCCATTCCTGTCACCCATTATCTGAAGGGTCAAGGAAGAGTCAGTGTTTTCAACAGAGCAGATGACCATGTCCCGGGATACCATATGGCTAAAGTACTCTCTACAGAAAAGCAAATGTGAGGGTAGTAACTCATTGTCCATCTGTGTGACCTCATCAGAGAAGAAAGAACATCAGGCAGAAAGAACTAGACAGCCGTAGGGGTTATGCCATACTTGGGAATGTAGGTGGCTCTCTAACAATCCATGGGCTCCAACCCTGATTTTATCAATTTGTTGCTACCTGTAAATTCTGAAGCAGGCTTAACTTTGTCTCCCAACTTCACAGTGTTATTCAACTCTCCATGCCTACAAGGAAACACTCCAGCTAATCGACTTATAAAGAGACATGGCTTATTTGGGTTGACTCTGGAGGTTTCATGCTAAGGTTCACTGGCCTCAATTACTTTTGAGCCTGTGACAGCATGACATATCATGGCAGGGAAGGTGTAGCATGGGAAACTGCTAAGTTCCTGGAAGCCAGAAAATGACCAGAAGGAAGATAGGTGGTGGCAGCAACTACTGGGTACTAATCTTTTAATGGAGGGAACTTTGTCTATATAAA